CAAAAAAAAAAAAAAAAAAACTGTTCTGTAGGCCAGTCCTGGAGGCCAATCTTGGAGGCCCTACTGGTGCGACTGGGAAACCTCTGGTCAGTTTCCTCGGGTCAGGCCCCTGCCTCCAGCACACGCGAGGATGGCGCTGGTGGGAACAGCCCCTGAGGGCCCTTTCACACCTGGCCGGGTGAATCCATCAAGAGAGACAAGAGCAGCAACTGACACCAGCAACTTCCTGAGAGCTGGAAGAGGGGGTGACGTCGGGAAAAGAGGGGGAAGGAACTACAAGGGGGATGAGGAGATGAAAAGAGGCTGAAGAAAGAGAAAGGAGACAGGCAGACATGCAGCAGCTTCCTCTTTCAAATGAACGGCTTCCCCACTGCGCGGAATCAAGTATTTATGAAGGCATTTTTTGCATATTAATAGCTGCGCGGGAGCCTCCAGTTCTGAAGTCCTGAAGGTACGCTGCCCTTCTTTAATGCAGGTCTCTCCAGCTCCTCACAGAATGTGGGATTCTCCTTCCCATTTCCTTTCCTCTCTGCCTCGTGGCTCCTCCGAAGGCCCTTCATCTGATTAAGGAAAATTAGTTCCTGGAATCCCTTCAGAGACCAAGAATATTGCTTCTACCTCAATGGGTCGCTGACATCAATCACTGGAGAAGTCTTTCTCCCCAGGGCTTCTCGGTATAGAGGCCGCAGGCTAGGTGAGGTGACCAGCACCAAAAAAGAGTATCAAAACTGTAAATGAAAATTGCAGGAGGAAACATTAACATATCACTATATGGTGCTGGGACAAAGTGAAACTAAAACAAAAACTAAAATAATTTCATTAACTTTGACATTGCTATCTGTACTCAGTAAAGATTACATGCAATTTTAAAAGAAAAACATTGAGAACCTGTTAGAAAAATAAGCAAAAGACATAAACAATTTATTTACAAAAAATAGTAATAGAAAGCAAGTAATCTCAGCAGCTTGGTGGCTCTGGCATGGTGGCTTATGCTTGAAATCCTAGCACTTTGGAAGGCCAAAGCGGGAGGATCACTTGTCCCAGGCATTCGAGACCAGCCTGGGCAACATAGTGAGACTTTGTCTCTACAAAAAAATTTTAAAAAGAAATTAGCCAGGCACATGCCTGTAGTTCCAGCTACTCAGGAGGCTGAGAGAGAAGGATCAACTGAACTCTGGAGATCAAGGCTGCAGTGAGCCACGATGGTGCCACTGCACTTCTGCCTGGGAAACAGAGTAAGATCTGACCCAAAAAAGAGAGAGAGAGAGAGA